CACTGTCCCCTCCGCATCCCCCACGCCCCTCGTATCCCTCCCCCGCCCTGGTGTTTAGGGCTGTTGTGAAGCTTTGTGGCACGTTTCGAGCTGCCTCTCCAGGGGATCAGGGCTGGAAGTCCGTATCCAGTTCCGAGGAGGGGACTGTCAGCGTGCGGGGGGCGACGTGGAGACAGCTCGGGGCTCCTCGCTCGCTTCCCCTGGGTGTCCACTTAGCCGTGGGGTCTGCTGTCTCCGCTGATTTCAGGCACGGCCCGTAAGCAGGGGACACCACCGCCTCCGCGAGCTCCGGCCGCCGCCCCCCCCCGGCGCGTCCTGCCGCAGCGAGAGGCATGGAGAGGGCCACGCTCGCGGGGCGCTGATCCCCGCGCCTGCCCGCGCGCACACGCCCCCCGCCGCCGCGCGCCCTCAGCGCCTCGTCCCCAGCCCCGGCCCCACCATGACCGGCTCAGCCGCCGATACTCATCGCTGCCCCCACCCGAAAGGCGCCAAAGGCACCCGGTCCCGGAGCAGCCACGCGCGGCCCGTGAGCCTCGCCACCAGCGGGGGCTCGGAGGAGGAGGACAAAGACGGCGGGGTGCTGTTTCACGTTAACAAGAGCGGCTTCCCCATCGACAGCCACACCTGGGAGCGCATGTGGATGCACGTGGCCAAGGTGCACCCCAAGGGGGGAGAAATGGTGGGCGCCATCAGGAACGCCGCCTTCTTGGCAAAGGTCTGTGGCTTCGCGGGCGGGGTTGGGGGTGGTGGGGGGACCAGTGGGCAGTAACGGGACCCTGTCAGCCTGTACAGAGCGAACAGAGGCAATCTCCATTTTCCTGGTCCTGCTACAAACTCCCTTCCCCGCCCCGTTCCTCCCTGCCAGCCCTTTTCTTAATTGAGATGTTCACCCTGGAAGCCTTAGAAATGGGCAAGGGTGAGGTAGGGGCTTGCTGTCCTGGGACCCTATGGTTGGGCTGTGCCAAAGTGTCTTTGAATTTCCAGCCAAACCCTATTATTTTCTCATCCCTGGGTACATACGTTCTCCTTCAGCAAAAGCTAAAGCCACCAGGCACTACCGATGCCAAAGAACGCATAGATCCCCAGGGATTCCACCCGGCTTGTTCTCTTTGGATGGAGTCCTTGCTCCTCCTCTGCTCCTCCCTCCCACCCACCCCCCTCGCAGATGATTTATTAAGCTGTGAATGAATTTGAAATCAACCAGACTTCTCAGTGTGAATCATTTCTAGACTTTTTGTCATTTGTTTTTTATGACAGTGACTTTCACCCCTGAAACTTGCAAAACAGTGAACTCTCTCTTCCCAGCTTATCTGGGCTTCAAGAAAGAAAAAAAAAAAAGACTTTTGACCATGGCTTAAAAGGGACTTTCCAGTATACATGATGAATTAGTCTCACTGGCTAGAGAAAGACAGGAATGAAACTCTCTTTTTACCTTGGAAACAAGCCAGTGAGCCATTTAAGTTCGGTGGCCAAGGATTTCATAACAGAGGGAGGGGGATGTCCCCTGGAGGGAGTAGCTGTGTTATATGAAACATCAAAATGCAAACTGGGGAGAAATGCTGCAGAGACAGGAATTATAGCATGGCGAATGGTTACTCCTGGACCCTGGGAACTCTCCTCCGGCTGAGGAGATTCCTGGGCAGGTCTAGGAATGCCAGACCTGAGACCTGGAAGGCCATCTGGTTGAGTCCCCAGCCTGGTGACAGCTGAGCATCCAAGCCTGCCGGCCAGAAAGCTGTATATGTCTCTGGGGAAGTGACAGAGCCTCTGAACTTCCTGCTGCAATCAGTTAAACAGTGTTTTATTAGTCTGTTGGTCAAAGAGATCTTCATCATGCCCAACTAGAATCTTGCCTGCTTCAGTGTCAACCGTAATTACCCTTGCTAAGTTCCCTTGAACATGAGAGCAACACTGTTCCTGGTTTGCAGTTCTGACTTCAGAATTTTTCCTTACTTAAGTGAGATGCCAGGAGCCCTTAAACCTGGAAGAGAAGTGGCCACAGGGAACAGAGACCTGTTCCTACTGTCCCAGGAACTTAGTAGCTTCAGCATCAACCTTGCCTCTAACCGTGCCTTCATCCTTCCTCCAACCTTGTGTGTGTGGGGGCATGGGGAGGGGTGGAGGTGAAATTCTCTATGTGGGAATCATGGAATTTTACTATTGGTTTGGCTAGATTTTGTTGTTGGGAAGCTCTTAGACCACACAGAAATCCTCCCCCAACCCCATCACATTTCACTACTGATTCTGTGTCACCCTTTGAATCAGGGCAGAGCATTGTCAACTTCCCTTGCTACTCACAGCATCCTTCAGTGTTATAAGACTGTGCTCTTATGGTGGAAGGGACTTGGAGTAAAAACCAAGAGACCGAATTCTTGGTTGTGCTACCTCTAATTTTGTGCCTAGGTCACTTGCTTAAAATCTCTGCCCTTAGTTTTCTCATCTATAAAATGGAAGTAGACCAGATTTCTTGTAAAGTTCTTTCCAACTCTATTTTATTTTTGAGACAGTGTCTCGCTCTGTCACCCAGGCTACAGTGCAGTGGCACAGTCATGACTCACTGAGGCCTCAGAATCCTGAGCTCAAGCAATCTTCCTGCAACACCACACCTGGCTAACATATTTATTTATTTTTTTAAGAGACAAGGACTCACTATGTTGCCCAAGCTAGTCTTGAACTCCTGGCCTCAAGCAGTCCTCCTGCCTTGGCCTCCCAAAGTGTTGGGATTATAGGGGTGACACACTGAACCAGTCTTTTCCAACCCCAGAATCCCATGATGCTATGACCTGTGACTCTAGGTCTCAAATGTGGATCTGTATGACGCTAGCAGACCATTGGATTATGAATCCTCAGAACTGTGACATTCTGTCATTCTGCATCTTTGTTTAGCCTTCTCTGTCTGCAGATAGCTCCTTTACCCTTTCTTATGTCTCATAACTTCCAGACCAACTCATTCTCCTTTTCTTTCTAGGACAATTTCTAGTTTGTCATCAGTCAGTTCCTAAAACGAGCACAAATATTACCTATTTAGAACATAGACTGTTACTTCCTGAAACATGTGCCTCATACGTCCATTCCTGGAGCTGAGTGTTTTGTTCTTTTTATTTCCCCAAGTTGAGGGTCTCACTCTGTTGCCCAGTGGCATGGTCACAGTGCACCACAGTCTTGACCTCTTGAACTCAGGTGATCCTCCCACCTTAGCTTCCCGAGTAGCTGGGACTACAAGCCTGTACCACCATACCTGACTAATTTTTTGACTTTTTGTAGAGACAAGGTTTCACTATGTTGCCTAGGCTGGTCTTGAACCCTTGAGCTCAAGCAATCCTCCAACCTCAGCCTTCCAAAGTACTGGGATTACAGGCGCAAGCCACTGCACCCACAGGAATGCTGTGTTCTTCAAAAGAAGTGTTCCTTTTTCTCATCCAGCAAGCCACATCATACTGTATTTTCATAGTTACTGGGAGCTCACATGAGAACTGTTGCCAAGCCAGGACTCCCCCAGCTCAAGTGTGGGCAATTAGCTTTGTGATCCTAATATAAATAAATACATTATTTATAAATATATACATTTATCTCTCTTACATTGCATCTTAATGGTTGCTTCTCTATCCTTAGCCCCATCATGGCATCCCCCTGGCCCTGACATTCCCCAAACCCTGACCCCTGCCCAAGCCCTGACGGGAAGATCCCCAACAGCTCTCATTTCCAGGGGTCTCTCCTCTCCGATTCAAGGGCTATTCCTATGCTCAGCTTGGCAGACTGTCTCCTCTGGAGCCAAGTTCTTTCCTCCTCCATCCATATCAATATCTTGCCGAGGAATTTGTACAGAAGAAAAGTGATGGGATGGTGGTGGAAAGCTCGGAGAATTTCAGGGAAATTAACCATTGTTGGCAATTGTGGACTAAGAAGCAAAAGAAGTGGATAGAGGACGGTTTGCAGGACCTACTAGGAGGGCTAAGCAATACTTGACCTCAAAACAGTCATTCTCTCAGCAGCTGTGCGGAGTTCTGCCTGAAAGTCCAAGTGTCTCCATCTGGGAAGGTTAACCTGCCTGAGATCCTTCTCAATTTATGCAGGTCTCCTCTCCCCTGGTGGTTACTGGGCCCCAAGTAAGCATTTGACCCTGTCAAAGCCAGGATTTTTCAGGGGGTATTTAAGAGAACAGCAGGAGTCAGTGGAGGATAATAGTGGAGGAAGGAAGGGTCAGAGAGAGAGACCAAAGCAAGAAAAAAACAGCTGGGCATACTAGGAATCCGTTCTTCCTGTGCCTTCACTTGCTGGAATTGGGCTCGGGGTGGGCTGTGTGAAGGGATTCCAGCAGGAAGTGGCAGGAAACTGGGATGGATTCGGCAGGAAACAGCAATCGGTTTCTTGCAGACACCACGCTTTTGTGCCTCATTCTCAGGTTGTTTCCAAATTGGGAAATAGTTCACATTTAGCGGACTGAGCTTTGCTGAGTGAAGAAGTGTGAGTGCTTGGGACTGGAGACCCGGCTGCAGTCAAGGCACCACCTCTGCCCCCTGCTGGCTCTCACCAGCAGCTCCCTGCTTCCCATGTCCTGGATTCAGAACCTTCTGTCTGTCCACCCTGTGTGGCCCATCCTGCTCAGCCCAAGGACTCTGTAGCAGGCCACCACCATCAATAGATTCCTGGCTGCTCCTGATGCTGGAGCCTGGGGCCCACCCTGGGCTCACAGGTGCTCTTCTGGCGGCTGTTCCATACTTCTCCCAGTTGCCAGGGAGGAATCTTCTGCCCGGCACCTGCACTATATATTCAGAGGAGAGGTGCCAAAAGTCTTTGTTTTCGCCTTGTCCTTGTTAAAGATTCCTAGTGCTGGGGGCTTTTGCTTTTTTGCTGCCTCCTGGTTCCTTTTCCTGGCTTCTCCCTTCCCCACATGAGGGTACCACTTATACAGCTGCGACCATCTACATTATTTCCCTTGCATTCTCTGGCAGGTCAACTGTGCTTGACAAGAATGGAGTGGAATTGGAGCTGTCCACAAGAGTCTTGCCTGTGGTTTGTTTCATTTCTCTTCCTCTTGAACAGTCATCTTTCTGTCCACTTCATTCCTTCCTCCCGCCCACCTTCCCCCCCCCCCCCCCCCCCCGCCCCACACCCAAGGCCAGAGACATAGTGCCTGTGTGGAGAGGTTGGTTTTGATCTATTCCTTTAAGATTCTGCTTTCATCAGCTTGGCTGAGCTGGGGGACTGGATGCAGGTAGCAGGAGGTGAGAACCCTGAGGGGAAGGGCCACAGAAAATCAAAGCTGGAGTTTAAGGTAGCACAGTAGTTGATCAGATCTGGCAGGAAAACACCATTGGGGGGACTCTCAGGATCCCATTCAGAAACAAGAAAAGGGTGTCCCCTGGCTTCTTTTTAAAAGGTTATGCCAGCCGGCTCGGTGGCTCAGCCTGTAATCCCATGCTTTGGGAGGCTGAGGTGAGTGAATTGCCTGAGCCCGCGGGTTCAAGATCCATCAGGGCAACTTGGTGAGACCTCATCTCTACAATAAATCAAAAAATTAGCCATACGTGGCAGCGCATGCCTGTAATTCCAGCTACCTGGAAGGCTGAGGCGGAAGGATCGCCGGAGCCCAGCAGGTCGAGGCTGTGCTGGCCGGGAGCGGCACCGCACTCCAGTCTGGGCGACAGAGTGAGACTCCAACTCAAAAAAAAAAAAAAAAGGTTGCACCAATTCATGTTCCCATCAGTGCTGTGTGAGAACATTCACATCAGCATTTCAGCATATTTTTGCTAGCTAGAGAGGTGAAAAATGATATTTTTGAAGTGGCATTAATTTGCATTTCTTAAATTATTAGTGAGCTTGAACATTTTTTCCCCAAATATTTAGTTAATTATTTGCATTTATTCTTTTGTGAATCATCTTTTTATGACCTTTTTAATTGTGATAAAATATACATAACATATAATTAGCCATTTAAAAATATACAGTGCTGTGGCATTAGGTGCATTCTCATTGTTTTGCAGCCCTCACCACCATCCATCTCCAGAACTTTTTCATCTTCTCCAACTGAAACCTTGTACCCATTAAATAATGCTCCCTGTTTCTTTTTCTCCACAGTCCCTGGCAACCACCATTCTACTTTCTCTCTCTATGACTTCGACTACTCTATGAATCTCATATTAGAGGAGTTATACAATATCTGATATAAGATGAATTGTACATCTTTCTTTTTGTGACTGGCTTATTTCACTTAAGCATAATGTCTTAAAAACTCATCCATGTTATGGCATGTGTGAAAATGTCTTTCCACCAGGTGTAGTGGCTCATGCCTATAATAACTTGGGAAGCCAAGGTGGGAGGATCGCTTGAGTCCAGGGGTTTGAGACCAGCCTGGGCAACATAGTGAGACCTTGTCTCTCCAAAAAATTAGCTGAATGTTGTGGCACACACCTGTAGTCCCAGATTCTGAGGAAGCTGATACTGAAGGATTATCTGAGCCCAGGAGGTCAAGGCTGTGGTGAGCCAAGATGGTGCCACTGCACTGCAGCCTAGGCAACAAAGTGAGACCCTGACTCAAAAAACATTTTTTTTAAAAGCTGAGTAGTATTCCATTGTATATCATTGCATAGTCCATTATATACCACACTTTGTTGATACACTCATCCCTCGATGGACGCTTGGGTTGCTTCTACCTTTTGGGGCCATTTTTATTTTCATTGGGGCCTGAAGAGTTTTCCTATCACTTTGAAAAGACTCTTCACAAATTAAGGATTTTAAGTCATTGTCACCACGTGTCCTCAGGAGGAATAGATATTTTCATCCTCTTTCATTAGGGTAAGAGGCATCTTCATGATGTGAAGCTCCCAAGTTGAGTACCCAGGGACTCTGCTGCTCCTGATTCTGTTTTCCAGTCAAGTTTCCCCAGTGTAGACCCCCTGGTGATGAATACTAAAACAGCTTCCGCTTAATGAACACCAAGTGCCAAGCCCCACACTGCATACTTTTACATACGTCATGTAATCCTTACACTAATCTGGACGGTTTGAAGTGAGTGATACTATTCCTATTTTATCCAGAAGAAAGCAGAGACTTAGAGAGGTCTTGCAGCTTGACCAACGTCCACAGCTAGTAGGTGGCAGAGCAGGGGATTTGAACCTGGTTGTGTGTGTCTTGTAATTACACCCCAAAAAGCCCACTCACTGCATTAGAGTCCAAGCCTGGTGGGGACATTGGCAACCTACAGTGCAGGTTGGAAGCTGACCCCATGTGAGCCCCAGCCAGCTCTCCCAGACATCAGGGTGAGTTGTAGCCTATGTCATCATCCCTCAGCAATCTTGGTCCTCTCCACCACAGCCCTGCCCCCCAGCTGGGACTTGGGAATGTGGCCACAGCTCCGGTGCTCTGCTCACAGTTAGGCTGAGGTAACCATGCAGCTGTTTTTAAAAGCCCTTGGGCACCATTAAGCTGCTATTCTGAGAACCAGCTGCCGCCTGACTCCTACAGCCACCATCTAGCTCTTATGGGCTCTGTTGGGCTGGGGGTACTTGAAATAACTTGGTGGTCATCCCCCACAAAAGGCTATGAACCAAGTCACTGGCTACAGCAAGACTTGGACAAGCGACATCCCTCTGAGGGTCTTTTAGGTGGCTAGGGATTCTTTGGGGCATTTTCCCATGCTTACGAGCTTTTCTAGTAAAGAGGTAAAACAGAGCTTTTCTGTGTAGAAATGCTTGTATCTTACTACACTGCAAGTTCCCTCCTTGCGTCCTCTGCTCCTGTGCTTTCTCTTCCTTTCATCTCTGGCCTATAACTTGGAACTTAAGACATACTGGTTGCTGAAGACATATTTATTCATATCTCCCCTTCTCTCCTCACTTTGTGAAATCTCTGGTGCATTTTTACACAGAATTCTAGGTATGGGTAGATCAGTGGAGGTTACTGCATAAAACAAGGATAAGCCTGACCCTCCCAGTGTGTACTAGAGCAGGAACACAATGATACACTTCACATTATGACTTGTTCTATGTGTGTATATGTGTGTGTGAAGAGTCATGGGAACAAAGTGGAACATTTTGCTTCCCGTCAGGAATGTGATTTATTTGGGCTGATAGGATGTTAACAAAATTTAGCTCGCAGAACAGTTGTGCCTGCGTGTGCACACATACACATTCACATGCATATTCCCACACACACAACGCCTCAACTGTGATCTAGAAAGTGTGACCAGTTTCCTTTCAGCTGAGGAGGCAGTTACTGTGAAGTAGGACATTTCAAAGCCAAGAGAGAATCAAGGCACTGAGAGGGAAGGAATGTCAAGAAGTGTTTGCAGTAATGCAGCCAGAGGGATAGAAGTGTGGAGAGAGCCCGGTGTCAAAGCCCGGGCCACGTGCCCTCAGCTTCACTGTGGGGCTTGCACCTGGAGAGCCAGGACGAGAGCCAGGACTAGCCTTAGGCAGTGTCTGGCTGGGCCAGGCTGCCCAGGGCTGTCCTCACTTCCGCTCATTAGCAGTCTCACCTTCTATTAGATGAGCACTAAATCCCCAGGGCTGCCCCTGCCCTGTTTTCTCCGAGGATGGGACTAATCCGTCCTTGGGCCCTTTCTGCTATTCCTAAGCGGATTGAGCCTGGAGGAGCCTCCTCTCTCTTCCCAGCAGCAGCACTGCCGGAGCCCCAGGTCCATATGGGCTGAGTGTCTCTGTTACCAATGGCCCCACCCCCAGAGAGACAGAGCTCAGGTGACTGAGAAACATGGGAGAAATAAAGCAAAAAACAAAACAAAACTAATCAAGCAAACAAACAAAAAAAAACCCCCAAATTGTGCCTGGCTGGCATTCCTTGCTTCCCAGGAGTGATTTGATCAGGCATCCCTGTTTATTCTAATTTTTGGCTTCCTTGGCAGGGCGCTCAGAGTGGAGTGGGTGTCTTAGCTCTAAATTCCTGAGAAGAAGCACTTATCCCACCCCTTTCCCGTCCTTGCTGGCCTTTGGTCCTTTCTCTTCCCAGCAGGGGTTAGAACTTCATCTTCTCAACTGTAGATACTCGGTAAGCGTTGACCAAGAGGCAGTCTAGGATATGAAGGCATCGATGGGACTGCCATGAGAGGCAAGGCAAGAGGAAGGATCTTTCTAAGCCACCTGCAGAATTCAGGGGAAGGGACATAATGGGCGTTGCAGGGGGGGTGGTATTGAGATATGGCAACCGTAGTGCCATGCTGTAGTTCTCTAGGGTGCCCTTTACTTTATGTTCTATGTAAATGGTTACCTGGAGTGGAGCACATATAGTGGGTCACCATCAGCTGTGCAGCAAAATATTTTATGCAATAATCAATGGACTACCTCTCTATCGTGGGCCAGATTCAGTGGGGGTCACTATAGGACATGGTCCTTGGCTTCAAGGAGGTACTTAGGCTCCCGTGGGGAGGTAGGCCATATTTACACCACCATACCTGGAGGACTGTAGAGAACCACCATGACTCAGAGCGGAGTGTGTGTAGAGGGAACTCAGAGAGGGAGAACTTCAATGAGGAACTGACTGGGGGAGGACGCCCTGGATGAGGCACCTCTCCAACAGGCAGCCGTGCCAGAGTGACCATTTGCTCTCAGGAGATCCTCTCTCCAGTGGCTTTGGCCCTGTGTCTCCCCCAGGAGATGGACCCCCGAGTGTCTCCTTGATAAAAAGAGATCCACCTCTCTGTTTCTCTGCAGCCTTCAATACCCCAGGTCCCAAACTACAGACTGTCGATGACGATTCCAGACTGGCTCCAGGCAATCCAGAATTACATGAAGACGCTACAGTATCCTTCCAACCAAGGTCTGAGCAGACCCAGCCAGGGGACAGGCATGGTGACTGCAAGCCTGGTGGCATGTCTGTCCCCAGTTGGTCACCAGAAGCTCTCTAAGGTTGGTGAGGCCAGGCGTGGAGGGAAGCTCCTAGGTGAGCGTCTAAAAAGAGTGCTATTGTAGGATATAATTTCAATGACCCTCCTCTCCTCCCTTCAAAGAGCAAATGGGCAGGGACAGCAAGGGGTCAGTGAGGTACCTTGAGCCCCTCTGGCTTCCCTTTTTCTCACCCCTGTCCTTTCTTCTTTCCTCCCTGGACTCCCCTCTCTTTTCCTCCTCCTCTTTCTCCACTCCTTTCCTCTCGATCATCTTTGTTCACCTCGTCCTGTTTTCCTCTACTGTCTTCCTTTCACCCTCTTTCCCTCCTAGACAATTCTTTTTCTTTCCTTTCTTATTTGTCCTCATCCATGACCACCCATGATCTGCAAGAGGCCTACTTGGTGCTGCCTTTCACTCCCCAGGTGACCCAGGCTGGTGACCTTGCTCAGTTCTGCATGAACAGGTGGGGCTCTTGGAAGGGCTCCTCTTCCCCCACCTGACTTTGAAGAAGAGCTAAGAAATCCTGTGGGTCCAGGCTGGGTTCAGACCAGCAGCCAGGATTCAGGTCCCTTTCTCCTCCCATGTCCTCAGGTTGTTTGCAGTCAGGTTGTTTGCTGAAGGTTCCCCATGAGCAACATTGTAGGAACAAAGGGGTAGAAGCCCACAGTCTACCTGCCACTTCTTTTTTTTAATACGGATGGGAGTCAGATGGGGAACTGACCCCCCAGCACGTTATCCAGGAGGTCAAGCTTCTGCTGACCTCTGTCCTTCCTCCATGAAGATATAAAACAGCCTGTCCTAAAGGTCTCAGGCTCACGGGCTTGCTTTCTGCCTGTCTATTCATATCCAGCCCTGAGGCACAAAGGATTTCAAGGGGCACTGCACAGTTGTCCCACATGCCTCAGAAGAACCTCTCCTCTCCGTGTTATAGGCAAGAATCCTTCTAGTGGGTTTTTGTGTCTTCCCTCAAAAGACCAAACACCAGCACTTCCCCCATAGGGCTGGTTATTACCAGATGGGAATAGCACAGATTTCTGCTCCTTTGGGTAGGAAGATTACTTGATTAGCCTCTCAGTTTTCACTTCATGGATCATCAACCTCCCTGCATGGCATCTTCTAAACAATATTAAACAATATTAAAAGGATGAGGTGGTGCCGGCCTCTAAGAGTGAAGCAAGAGCCATAGCCTTTGGAAGGCTATTTGGTGTTGGTGTTGATCCCAAAACCAGGACTCATGATGTGTAAGAGGACATATGATCCAGTGGCATCAACTCCTGCCTGAGTAAACCTGGACCCTAAGAGCTTACGCTCTTTGGAGGTGACTGGCTCCTCACAGAATATTCCAGAAGGTGACAAATGAGAATGGCTCCCCACTTCTATCTAGGACATAGTCTTCACAAGGATTCATCTGGCTGGGATTTAAGAGAATGGCTGGCTGGGAATGCATCATGGGGCAGATTTGCATGTGCTTTGCATGACTCATGTTGCTGTAAACCCTACATTGCATTCTCAGCCAAGTTTTCATTGTCGACTGAAGGATCTGATTTTTTTTTTCTTTTCTCTGAACCATTCTGAGCACAAAGATCAAAGGTCAATTACCTACTTCGTCACTTACTGAGAAATCACCAGAAGGTTGCTGGGATCATGCTCCTGGACACCTGGCTAGTGGAACCATCACATGAAGAGTACTTTTTCTTCCACCTTCTGACCCAACTTTTATTTAGTAACTTGGGAGCCCCTTCTGCTTTGTCCTGGACACAGTGACAAGTGCCAGGGCATGGGGACTGCTTGGGGTCAGTCTGATATGGCAAGAGGGATACAAAAGGACAAATCCTGCTTTCCCCTCAGACAGCCTCAGAGCAGCGACCAAAGGAATGCTGGTTTGGCTTGGGGCTCTGGAAGAGAGATGCCACATGAGCTCTGCTAGATTGGGGAGAAGCCTTCTGAGAGCCAACTCAGGCTCAGTGAGTATCTTACCCTGAGGGAATGTTTAGAGGAGACTTTTCTCCCTAGCCCACTTTCAGGGCTCAATTATTAACTGTAAGGAACTGTAAGAGGATGGTCAGGTAATTTTAAATTATTTTATTATAGGGTTGTCTCACTTTATGCACTAGATGTTTGAATTAGACATATAAACGGGGAGGTTGAGTATAGAACTGATTCCTTGCCAACTGAATTTTACTTTGTGTACCAAGAATCTCACTGCTTGAATAAAATCTTTGGTAAAGTAAAAGAAAAAAAACCACCTTACAATAAGAATATTTAGCCCTTCATTTTTGTCTTCTACCTCCAGGGTTTTGGATGTCATATTTTTTCAAAGCTAGACAAGCTGGTATTGTTATTCTTATGGTCTAGGTCAACAACTCTCAAACTGGCAAACTTGTTAAAATCACCCCCTTGGCCTTCCCCTGGAGGCTCCAAGTCAGTAATTTGAGGTGAGGTGACTCTGAATGACTTCCAAATGGTTAGGAAGCTTGGCCTGAAATCAGAGTCTCCAGTGATAATGTCCAGAATCTGCTTATAAGGAGCTCTCCAAGTTGTTATGTGTGCCCTTGTCAGCTCTTCTCAGGACAGTACCGAGTGCCTGTAGGCACCTCTGTCAATGTAGGGCACACATTGCATCTCACACCCCATCTGGCCTGCAGTAGCTCTCAGTGTACAGGTTCATGCTTCATTTGCACTCCCCAACATGCGCTTTTGTTTGAGGCAGAAGTGCAAAACTTACAAACTTCTCATTAGGCTCAGGGAAATCAAAGTCCAGTCTCAGAGAACACCACATCAGGGAATCTTTGGTCTTCTTTAAAATGACTTGGTTGTAAGCTTGCCAGCCCCTGATACCTTCTGGGAAGTCAGGTAAGTACCAAATAGTGGATAATAGTGCCATCTTCTCAGATTTAGTGATTGATGTCAAATGTCATCATGAAAAGAAAGTGATGTTTCCACAGTAAGTTGTGCTAGAGTCTGTGTGCTATTGAAAAACCCTACTGCCATTCATCCATCCTTCCATCTCTATCTGCCCTTTCATTCCATCCGTCCGTCCATCCGTCCGTCCATCCATCCATCCATCCATCCACTCATCCATCTACCCTTCATTCCATCCATCCATCCATCCATCCATCCATCTATCCACTCATCCATCTACCCTTCATTCCATCCATCCATCCATCCATCCTTCCACCCTTTCATTCCATCCATCCACTCATCCACCCACCTTTCCATTCATCCATCTATTCCTCCATCTTTCCATCCATCTGTCCATGCATTTATCCATTTATATATTCACCTATTCATCCACTTACTCCTCATTCATTTAATAATATTTGCTAACTTGCACATGTTGGGCTTTTGCCAGGTTTTATGGGGGATCTAAAGATGCTAAAAGAATGGTCCCACTCTCAAAGAGCTTGTAGTGTAGTAGGTGAATTAAAACATGTATTCAACTAATTAGAATACAGAGTAGGATAAAAAGAGCTATTGTAAAGATTCCAGGTGCTTTGAAGCCTAAGTTAGAAATTAGATTTCCAAGGAAAGATAGTGAAGAATTAGAAGCTGTTTGGCCACTTCCACAAAGCCCCCACATCCTCATTGAGAAATCAGAATGCATAGCTTCTGTCAGATGACTGGGACTTTTGGAGTTTTCTGTCACTTTCCCTTTACGTACTTTACACAGATATAATCATACAGGGACCCAGTTCTTTGAAATTAGGAAAATGAGACCGCTGAGTGGGTAAGTGGTGCATGATCTGTGGGCCAGATGCCCTCTTTCCCACCCTTGAGCCATCAACTCCCTTTCCCAACTTCTTTCTCTGGATTTCAGTGCTCAAATATTCTAGTATGAATGGGTTGCAGGTGGGGGTGCCCCAGGGCCAGGTTGGAGGTGGTGCTGAGGACTGGGCCACTCTGACAGCTAAGTTCAGTGGTGATGTTTAACTCTTAGGATGGGGGAGGCTTGTGCACTTTGCTTCATGAGGCCTCCTTTACCTGTTATATTATAATGGCCCTGTCCTGGGCATGGGGAGGGTGTGTTGGAATACTGGCACTAAACTCCAGGAATTAACTCTTAGAGAGGGGTGTGGAGAATTTAGGATTTTATTCTGCCAAGTCCAGATGTGTTTTGCTGCCCTGCTGCAAGGCAAGTTCCCCCCATTTCCCCTTATGTTTCAACATGGTCCCTAGTGTGGGGACGGGCATGCTGGTGGACTGGCAGACACGCTGACCAACTGTGATTACACAAGTTCTGAGATCCTCTGCTGTGCTCTATCCTACAGGTTAATGGAAACAGCAAAAGAAATGACCCGAGAGTCCTTGCCTATCAAATGCCTTGAAGCTGTCATCCTGGGCATGTATCCTTTAAGTATGCATGCTTAAGTTTACTCTATTAAATGATGACTTCATTGTGGGGATGGTTGTGCCTTTCACATCATAAATTCACAGAGACGATGCCCATTGTCTCCTTGGAGGAAAGTGTCAGACTCTCCTGGTGCTTCGCTAACTTTCACCATCTGTAGTTAAACCAAATCAAGGCTTGGCTCCTTGGACCAACATTAGCGTGTTAGCTGCAGCCTCCAGCAGGGCCAGCTTTCAGGTCAGTGACCTTGCACTAGTCACAAGGAGAATTCTAACTTAGAGGAACTAGAGAGTGTTTATGAGACTGTTTTTTTTTTTTTTTTTGGCATCAATATGACATTGCAACAGGAAAGACATTTAAGGGGAAATGGAATCTGAGCTGAGAGTGCTAGTATCCAAACCCATCTCCAGGGAGAATTCTAAGAGTGGAGTGTGGATGAGCCCAAGCAATGATTGTGTGTCCGGACTTGACAGAACACAGCCAAAACAAGGATCTGGTCTCTCCCACACTTTCAGTTCCATTTTCCACTAGACAACTGGTTTTTCAGCCTGAGAGAAAACTGTGATG